GGGTTTAGGGTTTAGGGTTTAGGGGTTGAGGAGTTTAGGGCTGGGTTTAGGGTTTAGGGTTTAGGGGTTTAGGGTTTAATTAGGGGTTTAGGGTTTAGGGTTTATAGGGCTGGGGGTTTAGGCTTTGCCATGGACTAGCGATAGCAAGATTCTGTGCCTTGAGTTTAGGTGTTTAGGCTTTGCGGGTTGGGGTTCAGGGCTTAGGCCGTAGACTTTTACATAGGGCTCTAGGGATTCAGGTTTGGGGGTTGCTGAGGTTTAAGGGTGGCGCTTTGATCGCACGACACTGCCAGAGCTGTCATTTAAGTAAGGCCGCCGGTGCTCTGTCACTACAACGAGAACTGGTAAAACGACAGCGCTACTCGGCTCCAAGACAGCCTTGCTTTGGAGTTTGGGGTTTGGTTCGATACCAAAAACGGCACAAGGGACTCCTTGGACGGGCAGGGACATTGAGACACGCACCTTTTCCAAGTTGGAATTAAGTTGTAGTTCCTGGTGCCCCAAACCCTAACCCCCAAATCCAATCGCACGGCTCCCAAACGGCACTGCTTTGAGGCTCGTACAGAAGGGCCATTGTATGGGTTACGATGAAGGATACTTGAATTCAAAGCCTGAGGCCTCAAAACATACACACCCATAACGAGGTTGATTGAGACTGAACTATGCGGTAGGTGTTATTCGGCTCAACAAGTGGTAACGTTTCATTGAAGCTCATGTATGCATAAGCAGGAATGTCTAAATGCCGAGCCAAAGGCCTTTGGAGGAACCAAGCTGCAGATTTCAAGATGAAAAGACGTGAACTCTGAGGCGAATCACAAGAAATCAACGACCATCCAGCAGAATAGATGGATAATGTCGGAACTCTGATGTCTAAGCCCGAAATCCTCATCTCACAATCCTGAACCCCATAACATACCCTAACCCCAAACATTGTGTTCGCAAAGTAACACCACCGATTGAATCGAAGCGGCCGACCAAACATGTTAAGAGTGTGTGACTCTTTGAACCCTGCAAAAATACTTGCAGCACCCTAATAATTATAGACAGCTATCACACCTAAAGCTCCATATAATTACCATCAGCCGGCCCTTACACCAACCCTTCACGTGAGTCCTCTGCAGCATCCTCCATGAAGATGGCGCTGTCTGGATCTGACTTCGACATCTTCGCCTGGCCTTTCTTCAGGCCTTGGGTCGACCCGCTAGGGTTTAGGGTTTAGGGTTTAGGGTTTAGGGTTTAGGGTTTAGGGTGTGAGAGCTGAGGGCTTAATTACGGTTTTGTTTGGGGCGGGGGGTTAGGGAGTAGTGGTTTATTCTTAGGGTGGTATTTGTATCTCTACTGTCACTGTTGAAGGATTCTGATCTTTCTCCTGCTCTGGCTTGTGCTCCAACGCTGGCTTTAGCTCCTGCTCTTCGTCCTGCTCTTGCTTCTGCCTTTGCTCTTGCTTCTGCTCTTGCTCTTACTTGCTGTTGCTCTTGCTCCTGCTGTTGCTCTTTCTCCTGCTCTTGCTCTTGCTCTTCCTGCTGCGTTTGCTCTTACTGTCTTACTCCTGCTCTTGCTCTTGCTTTTGGTCTTGCTCCTGCTTGCTCCTGCTGCTGCTCTTGCTCCGGCGTTCGCTCCTCCTCCTACTCGGACCCCAAACTCCAGCACAATATCTAGACCCTACAGTTCAGGATGTAATAGCTTGTTCCTGATAATTACTCAAGTTCGCGGCTAGAACCCTACCACCGCGAGTATATAAGTACTACATCGTAAGGTGCAGTTGTCCTGCCTGAAGCCCGTTGCACTCGCAACCATCAGATTCAAACGCCCAAGACCCCAAACCCCAGAACCTTGCGAACCCTTACAGGAATGCCTGTAAGATCACCCCTAAACCCTAAACCCTAAACCCTAACTTCATTCTAGGACCCTAAAGCTCGGATATACTGCTCCTGAGGCCCTGGCCGTAGAGCATGTGGTGCGACAGAATTACCGGCTTCAACTTCCTTCCTGTCATTTGGAGAAGAGGAGAATGCTTTGAGGGCTTAGGGTTTAGGGTTTAGGAATTAGGGTTTCGGGTTTAGGGTTTAGGGTTTAGGCTTTAGGAATTAGGGTTTAGGGTTTAGGAATTAGGAGAACAGGACAGTGCTTTTGGGGTTTAGGGCTGGCGGTGCTCCTTGGTAGTCGTCGTCCGTCGTAGCAACTGCTATAGTTGTATAGCACTATTTAGCTTTATAGCCCTGTCAAGAGGAGGCCGCCAGGCGGAGACTAAATGCACACGGTAATCGCAAGGCAAACCGTACACGAATGCCTGCAGCGTCGCAGTAGTCTCTCGCAAGCATGTTCACCTGCGACACTGGGCCACCCATTCTGCTGGTGCTTAGGGTCTATAGGATCGTGCTCCCAGCTCGTATGCTGAAAGAAACCGAGGAAGCTGTGGAACAATTGCTTGACCCGGAATCGTAGCTTTGCTCTCTCGTAACTTCTGCAGGTTCAAACATGAACTGCAGAAAAGTACTCATCAGACACGGCGGCGCTGCAGGAGTGTTTGCGACTGCCATAAACTCGCCATCACCCGACAGCAAAGCCGGTAAAAAAAACACTACAACATTGAAGAACACAGCATTTTCTCGACTTGAATGTACTATTACAATCCCAAGTGTATACAATAGGTACATGGAGCCTCTGGGCAATGTGAGACGAGCTAGGCTTTGCATACGTAACTCACGCACCCTGCCTTGCGCTGATCGACCCCCAGTTGGCAGATATCTGCCTTCGACACACGGTTTATAGGGTTTGGGTTTTGGGTTTAGGGGTTTTGGGTTTAGGGGTTTCGGGTTTAGGGTTGTCGTCCCCAGAGGATGTACCTAGGCCTTTAAGGGGTTCCGATAGAGCTACTTTAGGCCTATAAGTATATAGACCCTGAAGGTACATGGCGCCTTAGGGATTGGACGTCTCAGACAACTAGGGGTCTCGCATCTTGGATTTAGGGTTTAGGGTTTAGGAGTTTAGGGTTTGGGCTTTGATTTGTGTATGGGGGTTCAGGGTTTAGGTGACATGGATCCTTCTGCGGTCTCGACAGACGCAACTGCAAAAACACGACCGCAATTGCAAACACCTTGAAATATACATGAGCAAGAGAGGGTTTAGGGTTTATGGAGTTTAAGGGTTTAGGGGTTTCGGGCTTTACAAGGCAGAGGGACACCCAGGGATGAAAGACCACTCCTCAACCTTTCAAGCCCCCATTCAAGATAGGAAAGCAAGTGGACTACATGTGAGGGCCTGCGCAGCTTTTCGGCTTGACGGCCCGAGAACCACTGCAGGTTCTGGAAATCCAACAAAAGATATCTCAGACAGAAGAAACATAAAATAAACAAGGCAACTCTGCCTTTAATTGTTCGTTGGTGTACTTACTGATTGCTTGTTTTAATGTTGTGTTTATGTGAAAATTTGGTACGTTATATGTTTATTTTGTTGTTGTTGCTGCTGTTGTTCGTTTCCTGCTTCTTCCTTGGAATTACAAAAAAACAAACAAGTACAACTACAACAACAAGCTGTTTGTTGCCTGTTATTTGTGTTTCTGCTGTGTTTTTGTCTCGCTCGTGGCCTGATCTGCGTGTCCGTATTTGGCTTGCCTGTTATAGTTTTATTGTGGCTTTTTGTCATCTTTTCAAACATCCCAGTCCCAATAACTCCATGATGCGTTCTCTTAACTTTCGGCGTATGGGAGAGCCTCAGGAACTGATGATACCAATCACTACCACTGATGGCTTCCCTACAGGGGCGGGGTAATGATGGGTTCAAGTTGGGGGTTTTACATGGGGCTCATGGGTTCCCTACAAGGTAGCCACGGATTCAGCCGTGAAGGCGGGATCATAGCCGAGCTCAGCAACACATATGCTCGCCCTGCACGCACTTACAGTAGCCATTCATCCATGTCAAGTAGAGCTTTCTTTTCGAATATCGCCTATACAACACCCCAACAAATTCAAGCACACCCATAATCTTCAAGAGCGCTGAAACCATTTGTCAAAATCCCTAGAGAAAAGCACATTTGCGTCCTTCCTACAATCTCTGCGCACCTTCAGGAAGAAGATGTCCGCGCACTGCATGAGGGGATAAAGGATCTGTGCCTCGGGTGCCGCGGTCAAGGCCTCTGAGATACCACTCCTGTTATCATGGGTTAGGTTTATAGGGTTTAGGAGTTTAGGGTATCAGGGTCATAATGACAATTCCGATCTTACAGTTGCTGCTTCCTTCTTGCTGTCCTGCGCCGGAGCAGTGCTGATAAGATCTTGATGTAGATCGCAGCGAGCGTGCTTCGAGCAATACTCTGAACGTCTTGAGGTGGTGAGTGAAGTTTAGCGGCTGAGTGCTGGTAGTTCACCTTAAACCTCAAGCCCTAAACCCTTGAACACAAAAGTTTGAACCCCTGGCTTGCGCCGAACGCTTCCTCGGTTTGAAGAAACAGAGTTGAAGTTGCGGGGTCTATGGCAGGGCTTAGGGTTTAGAGGGTTCGTAGGGCTTGTAGGGTTTAGGAGGAAAGGGCTTAGGGCCCTTAAGCTCAGCTGCACGTAGCCCTCTTGATGTTTCCATGCAAGGTGGCATAAGCATGACCTACAACTACCGGTGCACCCCGTAGAAACCTCGCAAAGAAAAGCCCTACACCCGCCATCCTACAAGATTTACATCCTGCTTCACCGAGTTGCCAGAGCTTGAAACCCTAAACGCTAAACCCTAAACCCCTAAACCCCTAAACCCTAAACCCTACACCCTAAACCCTAAACCCTAAACCCCTAAACCCGAAACAATGAAACCTTCAACCCCCAGCACTCAACACCCTCGAAGCCTCAAATCCTTGCAATCTGTTCCCAATGCTCTTGACCACTGAACTGTAGAAGACCCGGATAATGATCACGCCAAACGACACCATGTACACAAATCCAGGTTCAAGCCCCAAATACCGAAACTTAGCCAAAACGCGTGAACCCCAGAAGCTTAAACCCTAAACCCTCAACCCTGCAAACCTTGAACTCATGAAGCCGACTTCGACGATTTAGAAGCTCCATGAAGCAACTAGAAACAAAGCTAACCACCGCATCTCTGAGAGACCGACAGCGGTCAGCGAGTCTTCGTCTCGCCCCATGATCTGACAGCACTTCTTCACCTGAAATAGGGTCTTTGTGTTGGTAACCGGTCAGGCGTTCCCACTATACCTTCAGCGAAGGTCCAGCTCTTTCAAGGTAGAGTATTTGCGTTAAAGGCTGAACTTGAACTTGGGCAGAGACCCTGTAAAGCCAGAAGGCCCGCTAGGTGAGAACTGTTTCGGTCGACGATGGCGCGTAACCCGCCAAGGTCCTGGTGCAGGTTGTGTTGTATGAGCTCGAGCACTGCAGGCAACTTTACAATCGTTCAAACCTAAACCCTAAACCTCTAAACCCGAAACCCTCAAATCTCCCTTTGGGCGGATGACCGAGCGTTCACAAAGCTTCTTCTGAGTTTGCGACCCTCGCGAGAGTGAAGCAAGATGCTATGTGCAGAGCCTCGTCAGACGGCCGCAGGTGCTTGCCCAGACTACTTGGAGGGTCCGGGGACTTAGTAAGTAGTTATCTATAGACTTATAAGTATCATAACCCCAATGAGAGTCCCTGTTAGGTTACTTATAAGTCTACTTATTACCTACATCACCGGATCCAGCTAGGAAGCTAAGTAAACAGAACAAGGAAGTACGCAGAGGTACGTGATCATTTCGGACCAGGGTCTGGATTGTCGAGGGAAGATTTAAGGATTAAGGCTTAGGTTTAGGGTTTAGGGTTTAGGGTTTAGGGTTTAGGGTTTAGGGTTTAGGGTTTAGGGCTCAGGGCTTGCCCAAACCACAAGTCACAAACCTTGTGCCAACTTGTGCCGCCGTCATGAATACGTTCAAGCAAGGGTAACTGTTTGGACCCACGGTCTAAATACCAATATCGCATGTACTGGGTGGCCTGACAATTAGAATAGGGTTTGGGTTTGGGGACTATATATACTCTAATCTAGTTCCGACAAGGAGCCCTACTTGGAGGGTCGGGGGACTTAGTAAGTAGTTATTTTATAGACAGATAAGTATCATAACCCCAATTAGGGTCCCTTTTAGGTTACTTATAAGTCAACTTAATACCTACTTACTAAGTCCCCCGACCCTCCAAATAAGGAATAGTAGTGGTACTTCATAAGGCCCGTCATTATACATCTGGCACCTAGGGCTAAACTCGGCATAACTTCAACGGAATCTGGTGTGTGAAGTTCACCAGATCGATCTGGATCTACTGTAGCCGCCTTTCTTTTGTGGATTTAGGGCTTGGGGCTAAACCCTAAACCTTAACCCTAAAGCCTAAACACGATCATAGTAGATTTATATAGTGACTTTCAGGGAGGGAAGACTGTTACGAATTCTTCCGACCCGCATAGTGACTGTCGATACGGTTACGGGCTTTACTCCAGATGGTCCGAATTCACTATTGCGCAGGGTGTAGGGCTACAGGGAGGGTCCAGTCTGGAACTCTACCTGACCTCATACTACGAAGTCGGTTTAGGGCTTAGGGTGTCAAGCAATATGCCACTTCCACAGAGTGGGAATCTGGCTCTGCTGGTGGGGTTGGATCCGCATTACTTTTTTTTGTTTACGTCAGGCTACCCTGAAGCCCTACCTAAACGAAAACACTGCAACAAAGAAGAGGAAGCAACATTATGGTATTGATATTAAGGCTTCTGTGTTCCTATACCCTACGACTCCAAATCGTCCAACCCTCGGTACTATTTATGAACTTCAGACCAAAAAGTCGGCATTATTTGTATACATCATGATGACATGGGTTTCGGGTTTAGGGTTTAGGGATACATCATTACAGGGGTCCTTAGGGGTATTACATGATAGCAGGAGTGTTTCAGGCTTGTACATGGGCTCAAAATCAAGCTCTGAACCCTAAACCCTGAAAGCCCTAGGCCTAAACCCTACCCTAAAAGATCTAAACCCTGAAAGCCCTAAACCCTAAACCCTACACCTAAAAGCCCTAAACCCTAAACCCTACCCTAATAGACCTAAACCCTAAAAGCCCTAAACCCTAAAAGCCCTAGAAGCCCAAAACTCCAAACCTCCGGAGTCTTTAGGTTTACTTGGCCAGCAAAGCACTCGAACCCAAGTCCGACTCTGAACTAAGGTTTACGGTTTAGGGCTTAGGAGTTTAGGGTTTAGGGCTTAGGGTTTACGGTTTAGGGTATTGGGTTTAGGGTTTAGGGTTTAGGGTTCAGGGTTTAGGGTTTAGGGTGTAGGGGGCTTAATCATTAGAATAGGGTTTTGGGGCCCTTTGCACTATACTTATAATAAGAAACCACCACAAACAGTATAGATAATCATTTAGGCTTCTATAGTAGGGGCCTTCATCATTAGAATAGGGTTTAGGGTATATTGTTATGATTGTAATAATTATGACCAGGAAGCACCAAGGTGATATGAGTAGTTTTCCTTTTAGGGTCCTTTTTATAAGGGTGCCGTACTACATTGGGGACCTAAAAAAGGGACCCTAATTTAGAGAATTATCCATATACTATGAAGGTAGATGGCCCCTTAGAACAAAGCCTATGCCCTCAACCCAAACCTCTCAAAGGGGCCCTAATTTAGAGAACTACCCTACGTAAAGTAATAACGGTACCCTTTTTCCTACTATTTGGTTTGATTAAGGGAACCCAAAAAGAAAAAGGCAAAAGGGT